GATCACTACAAGCGGGGTTAGCCTGGGCCAAACGAGCTGGAACCCAATACCAATGAAACAATACCTTATAGGCTGCCTCCAGCGTGGACGTTTTGAACGAGCATTTAGCTATGAGTGACCAGGCCCTATTCCAGTCCTCCGGATAAACAGCCACTCCCAGGTCACGCTCCCACTGAACAACATATGAAAGAAGTATGCGACGGGCGTCTGTTCAGAGCTGCATAAAGAAGGGAGATAAGGCCCGGGGTGCCCGGGCGCTGCTGGCAAAGCTGTTCAAAGGCAGATTTCTGGTATGGAAAAGCAGAAGTGCCCCGCAGCGAGAACAGCCAGTGCCGCAATTGAAGGTATCGAAAAAAATCCGCCAGGGGAACATCCCGGGACTCCCGAAGAAGATCCCAGGTAGGGAAGGACCAAAAAACCAAAATGTCGCACCTGCGAGAACCCATTAGCTACCCACCAAGAGAACGCCCTTGGGTGATCTAAACCCGGTGGGAAAAGAGGATTTATAACAATTGGGAGCAAAGGCAGAAAGGGTGACATCAGGCCACTGGAGTAACGTACTGAGTCCCAGATTTGAAAGCCATGGAGCAACATCGGGCTCAGCGCCATAGAGCACAGGGCAGGGGCAAGCCATAGAAGCTCCGACGGCGCGATAGGGGCACAATTAGGTAGTTCCAGCAAGACCCAGAGAGGGACGTCAGAGGAAGCATGCAGCATAGACAGCGGGGCTATCTGGCTCGCCTGATAATACTTAGTTACATTAGGCACCCCAAGGCCACCCTGGAGTCTATGAGCAAAGAGCGTATTTCTAGATACTCTGGGGTGCTTATTGGCCCAGATGAAACGCATAAACTTCGTCTGAAGCAACCAAAGAAAATGAGGGGGAATCCGCACTGGGAGAGTGCGAAAATATTATAAAATTTCGGCAGGACGGTCATTTTTACAGAATGAACCCGCCCTATCTAAGACAGGTGCGGAAATTGCCAGGAATGCATAAGAGAAGACAGAGAGCTAAGCAATGGATAATAATTCGCAGCAAAGAGGGAGTCATAGGTGGGGGTCAAGCGGGATGCCCAAGTATTCAAGAGAGGAGGAAGCCCATTTGTAAGGGAAGTGGGATTGTAGGCGTGAAACCAAATCTGAAGCCAAAGTAATATTGAGAGCGACAGTCTTATCCAAGTTAATACGGAGACCCGAAATCAAAGAGAAGCGCTCAAGAACCCGTTGCAAATTAGGAAGCGTCGTCAGAGGCTTAGTAAGAGTCAAGAGGGCATCGTCCGCAAAAAGGTTCAGCTTAAACTCCTGTCCCGCGTATGAAATCCCCGATATACTGCAATCGGTCCAGAGCGCTAAAGCCAGCGGCTCAAGCGCCAGGACAAAGAGCACAGGGGACAGGGGGCAGCCCTGTCTCGTCCGTTGCCCAATAGGAAAAGGATCTGAGAAATACCCAGCGTATTTAACGGAGGCCGAAGGAGAAGAATACAAGGCTTGAATCCAGGAAAGGATAGAATCCCCAAAACCCCAACGAGACAGCACAAACCGCAGATATTCCCAGGATAGAGAATCAAAAGCTTTATATATGTCTAAGGACAGTAAGAATCCTGGGATTTTCCGCTGTTGCAGAAAATGTATAAGATGGACCACCTTACGAACGTTATCACCCGCCTGCCTCCCAGGGACGAACCCTACCTGGTCCCTGTGGACCAGGCTACGCAAATATTTGTTGATGCGAGAAATAAGGATCTTGCCCAATATCTTCAGGTCTTCATTAAGAAGAGAAATGGGCCGGAAGGGTTGTGGTTCCTGTACATCATCGGTCGTCTTAGGAATCATGGAGATATGCGCTCTAAGTGCGTCCGGAGAGGGCAAAGAGCCCTGACGTACCTCATTGAAATAGTCAGCCAAGAAGGGCGCCAACAGGACCAAGAATTTCTTATAATAGAGACCGGAGAAGCCGTCAGGACCTGGGGCCGCGGTGGACCGTAAAGATTTGATAGCTTGGAGCACTTCCGGTATGGTAACGCAGGCGTTGAGGGCCACCTGTGCTGCCTCGGATAGTCCAGGATGGTGGAGATCTTCAAAAAATGCCTCTGCCTGAGCCACAGGGAAAGGATCTGGTTTAGTGTAGAAGCGCAAAAGAAAGTCCGAGAATCGGGAAACAATCTGCTGGGGATTAGCAGTACATCCACCTGTGGGAAGTCACAGTCGGATCGGTTTATGGGGTTTCCCCACAGAATTGAGTTTCCTGGCCAGCATCGGGCCCGGCTTATTAGCACAGGAATAACATTTGTGTTTGGTAAAGCGCAGGGCCCGTTCCGCCTCCGAAGAGGCAAGTAGGTCTAATTCTGTCGCCAGAGTGTCCCGAGTGCGTTTATGGGCCGCGGATGGAGACGACTTCCAACGCGCATCCGCAGAGGCCAGGAGAGAGAATGAAGCTATAAAAGTCGGCGCTCCCGCTCCGCCGCCAGCTGTATAACATGACCCCGCACCGTGGCCTTATGTGCCTCCCATAGGGGCACTGCCGAAGAGACCGATCCCGAGTTTTCCCGTGAGGTATGTTCGTAAAAAAAATTCTATTTGTTGGATGGTAGCCCGAGTGGTCAATAAAGAATCGTTGATGTGCCAATGAAAAGGGCGCCGTTCTGACCCAGAGAGGGCAAGGAGAAGTACCAAGGGATCGTGATCCGACCAAGGCGAGGAGGGAATAGTTATCTGCCTGACCAAGGGAAGCTGCTGAACCTGCATAAATATATGATCAGTTTCTACAAAAACTATCATGAGGACTGGAATAGAATGTAAAGTCGTGTTCAGTTGGGTGAAGCTCCCTCCAGACGTCCGCCAGCCCCACTGTCCGCAAGAGAGCGCATACGTTCCTCCAGCACCAAGTCATGAGAAGGGGCCACCCCCCGTGCGCAGCGCCTATCCAATGTGGAATCCAAAGTAACATTTGAATCCCCCAAAACAAGAAGGAGACCCTTGGAGTGTCGGGAAACAATGGTGCAAAGATGCGAAAAGTATTCATCCTGAAAACGATTAGGCGCGTAGTAAGAGACAAAAGTAACCTCCTGGTCCCAGAGGGTGCCTTGCAGAAGCAGATACCTGCCCGTGGGGTCCGCTATATTTTGAGCACAGACAAAGGGGAGATTGCTTTTAAAAGCTATCAGGACACCCCGACGCTTCTCAGGAGCTGAGGCCGTGTAAAAGGTGGGATAGTGAGGTGAAAGATAACGCGGGGCGGAGGACTGAGAAAACCTGATCTCTTGTAAACATACCACGTCAATTTGTTGCGATTTGAGGTGATGAAAAACTTTAGCCCGCTTCTGAGGCGAATTGAAGCTTTGAACATTTTGCAAATTAATTTTCAAAAGGGGCGAGGCCATGGCGACATCCGCACAACACGCTCAGCAGAAAAAAACAAAGCAGCTAGCAATTTCCGCTCCCAATGGCGATCGGACCGTGGCGTCCCGGAACCCTGCCGAAAACAAAAAAAAAAAAAAAACAAAGAAAGAAAAAAGGAAAAGGACACAAAGTATATACAATAGTGCAATCGTGTCACGCCAATGGCGACGTGCATCCTACAAATGAAGGATACCAGTTAGGGGTGGCTCTACCACCGGACACAAGGCTGCAAATGGAAACATCAGAAACATAAGCCCCCAGGGGGTAATAGGGCAATAAGGCAATAAACATAATAGAACGGGGGTACCAAAGCAATAAAACTAAAGGTCCCAGGAGCAAGGCCACCGTGATGACCTCCCCATAGAAACCCGGAGAACCATGGGGCCAACCCCCTCCCACCCAGCCGGGCCTACCAGATCAATCTAGCACCCCCGAAGCCCAAGGGAACCCTCACTCCATGCTACCAACAAAAACCGGAATACCATCATCCAGGCCCAAAACAGGCTGCGGCAGCAGAAAGTCACAATTCTTGAGTCCATGAGGAGACCCCCCAACCAGGGAAGGAACCCAAGGGGGCAAACTGGATCAATCCCAACCCGTAATGCTGACAAACTGGGGGAGCCCTAAGGGCCAAACTCACGGTCCCGTCAGAGAAGTCCATCGGTGAGATGATACATGGGTGTCAGGAATGGACTTGCCAATAATGGTGGGACTCACCTGCCTTGTGGGCTGCAGTACCAGGGCTGGCCAGCGGGTGCTCTCAGCAATCAGAGACGCAACCCTGCAGTCAGCCAAACACCTGAGGATGATTGCAGGTGTATTTAAGGGATGGCCAGACCTGCAGTCTGTGCCTCGGTGTGTGTGTTTTTCCATGGGCCCCTGTATCTGGTTACCTGCGTTCCTGTTCCTGCCTGACTGACTTGTTGCCGACCCAGCCTGATCCTGTCCTCTGCTGACGTCTCCTGTTTTATCCCTGGCTTGTGACCCCGACTACTCTCTGCCTGCTCCTCCTGTTCCTACCTGCCCGATTGTTATTGACCCGGCCTGCCTGACTACTCTTGTATTGTATGTTTGTTATCTGTTGGAGGTTTGGTTCAGTTTGTTTGCACTGTGTTTATGTTTTAGTATTGCACTGCGTTTTGTATGGTTAGTATTAATAAATTATATTGTTTATAACATATCTGAAGCCTGCGTTTCCCTGCGTCAGTTCACATACCTCTGGTCATACCCCGAGCCCTGACATTACACCAAGGCCAATCCTGACCAGAAGTGGCTGCACAGGGAAGCCATCTTGGCTTGTTGCTGGGAAGGATTATTGTATTTGTCGCTGCTGGTTTTTGAGGACAGAGAATATGCTTATCAGACTCTGAGGGAGTATACCCGGGATCAACTGCTAGAATGTATACGGATCGCTCATGTTCTAGTAGATCAGGGCACAGAGTTCTCCGAGGTGCAACCTTTGATTCAGGTTTGTGTAGAGTTGGCTTCATCTGGTACCCCTGAAAGCAGGAATGACTTTTTGCCACCATTTAGTGCAGACCAGGTAGAGTCCCTGGTATGGTTATTAGAGGATGATGTGGATTGCTTCTTGGAGCATTATGCTGCATGTTCACCACAGGTATTAAGGGATTGTATAAACGCAGTGCAGTCTTTGACCAGACAGGCTTTGTGTAAGCTAAGCTTTGTTCAACCCATACTGCAGACATGGTCAGACTTGTTGCACCCAGCCTCAGTCAGCTTACAACGTCATACCTCTGCTCAAGGCACTCTTCCTGCATCCCCGACAGCACCCCCAGTGATGGCCCAGTATACTCTGCTAACTACCACATACCAGTCCCCTGCTCCCACTCGCTGCACCTATCCTTTCTTTGGCCCTGTGGAGAGGTCCTCTGTGGCGGCTGCTCCCTCCTCTGTTCCATCTTCCAGCTCTTCTCTGTCCTCAGCTGCTCCATTCGTTTGCAGACCTGCACTTACTTACAGTGCTCCGGTAACCAAAACCAGAAAAAAGCGAAAATTCTTTCCAACCAGTACCATCCTGCCAGTATCCAAACCGGTGAGCCTGCCGTCTGAGAACCTGCCTTCCGTGGTACAGCCTGGTGCATCGGCACCCGCACTTCAGCCTGATGTCTGTACCCAGCCTGATGATCCTATCACGCCTGATGACCCAGTGCCCGCTGTCATACCTGGTGACCCGATGCCCGCTGTCGAGCCAGACGATCCAATGCCTGATGACCCAGTGCCCGCTGTCATGCCTGGTGACCCGATGCACGCTGTCGAGCCAGACGATCCAATGCCTGATGACCCAGTGCCCGCTGTCATGCCAGATGACCCGGTGCCCGCTGTCGATCCAGACAATCCGGTACCTGATGACCCGTTGCCCGCTGTCGAGCCAGACGATCCAGCGCCAGATGACCCGGTGCCTGCTGTCATGCCAGTTGACTCGGAGCCCACTGTCGTGCCTGGTGACTCGGTGCCCACTGCCTTGCCAGATGACGCGGTGCCCGCTGGCGAGCCAAATGACCTGATGCCTGGTGATCCGATGCCCGTCGCTCCGCCTGGGGGCCCGGCGCTCTGCCTGGGGGCCCGGCGCCCCGCCTCGTGGCCCGGCGCCCGCCGCTCCGCCTGGTGATCCGGTGTCCAGCCCGATGTACCTCTGCCCAGTGTCCAGCCCGATGTGCCTCTGCCCGGAGTCCAGCCCGATGTGCCTCTGCCCGGAGTCCAGCCCGATGTGCCTCTCTCCGGAGTCCAGCCCGATGTGCCTCTCTCCGGAGTCCAGCCCGATGTGCCTCTCTCCGGAGTCCAGCCCAAGGCTGATTGCAGGTGTATTTAAGGGATGGCCAGACCTGCAGTCTGTGCCTGGGTGTGTGTTTTTCCATGGGCCCCTGTATCTGGTTACCTGCGTTCCTGTTCCTGCCTGACCGACTTGTTGCCGACCCAGCGTGATCCTGACCTCTGCTGACTTCTCCTGTTTTATCCCTGGCTTGTGACCCCGACTACTCTCTGCCTGCTCCTCCTGTTCCTACCTGCCCGATTGTTATTGACCCGGCCTGCCTGACTACTCTTTTATCGTATGTTTGTTATCTGTTGGAGGTTTGGTTCAGTTTGTTTGCACTGTGTTTATGTTTTAGTATTGCGCTGCGTTTTGTATTGTTAGTATTAATAAATTATATTGTTTATAACATATCTGAAGCCTGCGTTTCCCTGTGTCAGTTCACATACCTCTGGTCATACCCCGAGCCCTGACATTGGGAAGTCCAAGACACATCTTCAGCCCGGAGAAGAACAGGAAGGACTTGATCGCAAAGAGGTCTGGGGGAGGGCCCTCTTCCTATTGGACGACCGCTCCCAGATGCGGCCTGGAGGAAGCGGCCTCGCCGGGGATCCTGATGAATGAGCCGGGCTCCGATCCACAGCCTAAGGCGAAAGAAGGTGTAAAGATTCCAGGAGAGAATGGGCCTCCTCCGGCGTAGCCACAGAGTGACTGCGGCCCTGGTAGGTGAAGGTGAGGCGAAACGGGAAGCCCCAGGCGTATTTGATACTGTGTTTCACCAGGACCGAAGTGAAGGGCTTCAACTGGTGGCGCTTCTGAAGAATGGTCTGAGAGAGGTCCGCAAAGAGCTGGTAGCGATGCCCCTGGAAGCTGAGGTCAGGGTTGTTTCTGGCTGCCAAGAGGATAATTTCCTTAGTGCGGTAATACGTAAACTTGATGATAATGTCCCTCGGGGGCCCATCCGGTTGTCTGGGGCCCAATGCACGATGTATGCGGTCAAATTCAAGCTGGTCAATGGGAACAGCGGGTGTCAGCTCCTGAAACAGAGCAGTGGCAGTAGAAGTAAGATCCGCGACCCTTTCCGGGATACCCCTTAACTGCAGATTACCACGGCGGGAACGATTTTCGAAATCCTCAAACCGTAGCAGCGTGTCCGCCAATTCTTTCTTGAGGTCGCACAAATCCTGTTCGTGATTTTCCGTGGCCTTATCTTATCTTCAAGGTTGTTCGTCCGGTTGCCCAACTCCCTAATTTCCCGCGATAGACGGTCAGCCAGCTTGGAGGTAGAGGAGGACAATTCGGACTGTAGCATACATTTGAAGCGGCGCAGGAGCTCAGCATCCCGCAGAGATGGCAAAGCAGACTACAGGGATGGCTCTGATGCCAGGTCCTCCACACTGCCAGGATCCGACCCACCCATGGATGGCGACGGCGGGGGACCCGAAATCGCGGCTGAGGCTCCATCTGAGGTCCCTGGCGGGAGCCGCGAACCCGCGACCGGGGTCCTGGAAGTCTCCGGCGGCCAGCCCAAAATCAAGGCCGCGGCTTCAGCCGCGATCTCCGGCGGGGGTAGGCCATAAACTCCGGAGCGGCCCGCCGGGAGCTGGAGGCACGGGGGTGGCGGCATTTTTTTGCCCATCAGGGCACCGGAGAAAGGGGGACAGGGAGGAGACAGGGGGACCCCCCTGAGGAGCGAAAATTGGCCGATGTGTCCAGCGGCCGAGGAGTTAACTTAGGAAGCAGCCATCCTGGTTGCTGCTCACGAGCGCCCCCGACTACTAACATTTAGACCAAACGATAGTCTAGGGCTGCTTTCCAGACTGATATCTCCTTCACCCCTTCCGTTTATGCCTTGGGATCTTTCTGGAGTCACTTTTCCCTGGGATGTACATTGTTTAATCGTTCCCGTTTGGGACCCTTTAGGCCCACTTTCTTTACTACTTTTGTTGTTCTTTGCTTCTATGGGTCTTATTCTCCTCTATACTCTCTTGTAGAGACAGATGATTCACACAAATATAACAGTCCCAGTTTAGCCCAAATAGTGACCAATTATCTTCCTCTTTTAAGTTGCTTAATCTTCTTCTCTTCCTTTTCCTCCTCTTCTATTTCAAAGCCCCTGGGACTCTCCCTCCTCTCCCCCTGCTCTCCTTAACATTGGGACATTTGGGTGTAAAAGTTCCAGTCAGTCTCACTCACCCACGTCTCTCATCCCTTGCTGCAAGGCAGGTGGGGTCTTCAGGTGTCCAGCTCCTCTGTACAGTTCTTTCCCTGGGGGGGTGACTCCACAGGGCTGCCAATGTCCACGTCCTCACCACTATACACTGCCAGCCAGGGGAGCAGAAAGCCGGGAGCAGAAAGCCACCTTCCTCTCTTCTCGGCACATCGGCCGGCTTCCTCCGCTCCCAATGCTCCTTTTGCGGCTAGACACGTGGCCATGCCGCTCTCCCGTCTCCTGGCAACCCGGCTTTCTGATCCGCCGGACTCCAGGCGGGCCGGTCTCTCGCTCTCCCCCCTTCACTACTCGGGGGCCTACACTCCCTTGCCAACACCCCCAGCACTCAGGTAGGTCTCGCCACGGCTCTCATTCCATATAGAGGACCCCTGGGGAGGTTAGTAGAGGAGCTTAGCGGAGAGCTCCTACATCAAGCCCTCCGCCGCTGCCATGCTCAGGCTCCTCCCCTCTGCTAGAGCAACACGTAGTAACAGTTTTATTAGTCTACTTGGAACCCCTAAAGATAAGCAAATCTTGACTCAAATCTTGTAAGCTCATGTAATTTCAATAAATAAGGGAATCATGCATGTCTCCCATACCTCACCTACTTGGATGTCTTCACTTGGTTATAGAAAAATGCATGACCCTATGATACAGCAGTATTTAATTTGTTAAAACGTTTTCATTCTGTTCTTATATCTGGTTCACTTTTTATAAATGTGAAGTAATGTTTATTGTTCCTCTATATAGGAAGTTTAGAGACACATTGCTAACACATTACCTGTTTAATACTTGCTGAAAATTCGTATAGGGTCAAAATGTGAGATATGATATGCTACCTACTCTTGGAAGAAGTTTATTGTACACCATTAATATGTATAATTCTGAGTTCGATGGAGCCTTTAGATCGGTACCTTACTTTTTTTTTTCTTTTCTAATATTGAACATTTTAATAAAACTATTGGTCTAAAAAAAAATATTTTATTTTTTTTTTTCTACAAAAGTCCTGTCACATGTTTATTCTTACCTCCTTGCTGCTCCTGATTCCTTTCACGTGTGTGTGGTTTGTCTGTGCTCACCTATGGGCGTCGTCTGCTATCCTCTGGGTTTTATTTCCTTCCCTTCCATCACTTCCTGGCCCACCTCCTAGTTTGCTTGTCTATATAAGACATGCTCAGTCTAGCCCACTTTGCCTGAGACACTTCCTAGTTGTCAGAGCTCCTCTGTGTTGCTACTGCCTGAATCCTACATTGACTACTCGTGTACCGACCCCGGCTTCGTTCTCTGACCTTGCTCGTTTTCTGCCTGTCCTGACCTCGGCTAACCTTTCGGATGGAGTTTGTCTCCTCCCATTATACTCTGCTCCCGCAAGTGGTCTCCTCAACCTCAGCTGGGCGTACCAGGGGGCCGCGACCTGGTCCCAGCTTGCTGCAAGTCCATCCCCACCATCAGGGACTCTGGTGAAGAAGCAGGCTGGGGCTTAGACTCTGCGCCCTGGGGAACCCCAAGTTGAGTATCAACAAGAGCGCACTTCCACAGCACAAGCCCATTAAAGAGAAAAACACTTAAAATTTTCTGCGGTTGTATGTGTTTGCTAAGTGTAAACGCATTTAAAAAAAAAAAAAAAAAAAACTTTAAAAAAACCTCCCCAAAAAACAATCAACATCTTTAGGTAAGTTTACAGTTTTGCTTTAGGCAGCATTCATATGAGTCATGGGCCACAGGTTGGACATCCCTGGGTAAACAGAGGAACATTTAAGCAGAATTTTATTTTAATAGGTTGCTTTGACTGACAAAATTTACAGATCTAAGCTCATCCGTTTGATCTGCAGATGAATAAACAGAATGATACAATATTTTATGTTTTATCTGTGGTAAAATCACATCTGGAGCAGCGTGGTTTATAAACACTGATTCAGATTGCTTTTTGACAGGTACAGCTGTCCACTTCTCTGAGCATACAGTAATGCCGGCTTTGAAAAGTCAAAGCAGACATTTGCTGTATACTGGGAGGGGAATTTCCAGAAGCAGGGCAGAGAGACTGGATGTCCTACACGTCTTGTATACAATGATGAAGTTTGTTTGAGAGGGTGTAGCATGTCGAAAGTTTGCATCTAGTTAAACATTTTATATGCTTTCTATTTTCTATTGTGAATAAAATATGGATTTATGAGATTTGCAAATCATCACATTCTGTTTTTTGTAAATTTTACAGTGTTGCAACTTTTTGGGGGGGAATTTGGGTTGTAGAATCGGATCATGTACCCAGTGTTAAAGTATACACAGTAGGGTATAGCGCCAGACAGACACGGTTTAAAAAAAAGTGTCCCCTCTCCCCATCTCAAATGGCACCAGGCAGGGGTGTCTTATCACCCCTACTTTTTGCACTTACATTAGAGCCCTTCTTATGTACAGTTCAGAGGAACACTGATATCCACAGGATTGAGGGTCAGTGATGCTCACCATAAAATATTAGCTTACATGGATACGTTGTTCACGCTTAACTAATCCTGTGATCTCTTCCTAACCTACTCCGCGAGTTTGACTTATATGGAACCTTATCTCATCTCAAGAT